TCTGCCTCCCCATTGGAGGGGAAGCTTCGTAGCAGCGAGCCCTCGTTTATTTTGTATAGCACCATATCCTCATGCTTAGGAGAGTGCCTGGCCTGTCGTTAATGCTGTCTTCGTTTGTCAAACAACAGAATGAGCCCCGCCCATCAGAGCATCCCTGGAACCCCAACTCTCACCCAGAACTTCAGTTCCAGAGCTATCACAGAGCCCGGCCTAACCCCCCAATTGCAGCTAGAGCAGAGAGAAAGCCAAGGCCTCTCACCTGCCCGCCAGTAATTCCATCCATTTCCTTCTCCTCCTCTCCCAGACCTTCTTTTCTCTCCTCCCGGCCCCCCACAGGCGTCAGCACCTGCTCATTTCCCAAAGCAGCAGGATCCGGGTAATGACCTCTGATAAGCATCTTTTAATAAACCCTGTAGCTAGATCTGTCATCCAGAAGCTATATTCTCCTCCCTCCCCACCCTCACCCCCATCCCCTCCCACTTCCTGGGCTGGCCTGTTAGTGCCTTTGGTATCTCCAGGTCCCCTGGGCCTCTGGACTCTGGCTCGCTGGGGAATGGCCAACAGGCAGCCTAGTAAGCTTGACCCTCCCCAGAGGCTTTATTCTCAGCAGCCTGGCCCAGCTCTGCCTGTGCCACCCTGCCTGACTGCTGGCCCGTCCACTTCCCTCCATCCCCATAGGCAGGTTTCTCAGGCGTTACCAAGGAGACCACTTGCATCCTGCCCAGGGTTGCCAAAGCAACCAGTTCAGTGAGAAGCAGCCCCTAAGCCTCTAGCCCTTGGGAGAGTCACAGACCAAATGGAAATAGGCCCGGGGACTGGCACACCAGGATAGAGGCATCCCTGGCATCCCCTGGGTAGTGCCCATTTCTTGCTCTCCTTCTTCCCCCCTCCTCCTCCCTCTTGCTCTTGCCTATCCAGCCTCTATCATGGCCTCTGTGATTCAGAACCAAAGCCTGACCCTCAATGTGCATATCTTGGAAGTGAATATCTTGGAAGTGATCACATGCCACCCCAGAGGGTCAGGGAAAAGAAGGCCCCAATATGCAAAATTTCCCCCAAGACCAATTTTCTCCCTCGTGGGCTCTGGAGTTCTGGGGAAATCCCAGCCCCACCACTTCCTAGGTTGATGTTTCTGTGCAGCGTTCTCAGCCAAGGGTTCAGAGGAGGGGGTAATGGGGAGTGACTGCTTACTGGATACAGGCTTTGCTTTCGAGGTGATGAAAATGCTCTGGAACTAGACAGAGGTGGTGGTTGCACAACATTGTGAATGTACTAAATGTCACTGGATTGCACGCTCTCAAGTTAAAGTGGTGAATTTTATGTAAATTTTATCACAATTTAAAAGAAGATGGGAAGTGGCCCATCCAATCCTCATCTATGGGTGACCACTGGGGCTGGGTAGCCCTCCCCAAAGGTTTTCCTGCTTTCCTTCTCATCAACACTTAGCACCAAGCAGGCAGGCACTTAGAAAGAGCTGGGAAAGGAGGAAGATCTTTATTCTCTGTATTTGTCTCCAGGAAGCTGGAGGCCCCTGCCCCAGTGACCCTGTGCCTGTAACTGAGAATACACACACACACTTACTGACTCACCTCCAAGTCTTTGCTGTATGTTCCTTCCCCAACCCTCCTCCCCACCCGCTAGCACTCCTGCTGCACCCCTTATCATCTATCCAATTTCTGCCGTTCCCTCCATGTCTGGCTTCCATTCCTCCCTGGTCCCCCATCTGGGATTTCAGTGGTCCAGCCAAGCACTTGGCCCTATTCCCTCACTCAGCCTTGCCTTTTCAAGTAGATCTTCAGCTTGTGAATGTGCAGGGATGTCAGGGGCCCTCACCTCTAGGTCAGGCATCCTCGTAACGGTCTCTTGGTCCTAAGCCCAGAACTATGCCTTGGATCTCTCCCCTGGACACCCCTAGACCGACACTGCTCAGACCTCAGTGGGAATCACCAGCAATGGGGTGAAGTTAGTGTGTCTCCAGGGAGAACACCAAAGTCTACCACCTGACAGGTGATGGACGAGCCTCATTTCATGTCAGCCTGACAACCAGACCAATCTTAGACCTCCAATGTGTCCCAGGGTCCCTATTATGTCAGGCCCTTTCCAGCTGTTTTAATTAAAATGGGGAGAAATCAATAGAGATTACAATTATAGAAGGAGAGAAAAAAAAAAACAACAACAAAGAAGAGTTCCCCCTTCCCCCAGCAAATTTCTGGATGACACTGATACAAATTACAGCTGAATTCAGGATGGGCACAGAAGCAATCCGAGCAGAAGTCTGGGTGAATAGGCTTAGAATCAGAGCCAGTACTGAGGTCAACAGCAGTGCAGCTGGAATGGAATTCTGGATGACCACGGATGTATCAGAGACGACTACTAGGCCAATACTGTTTTAGTTTGAAGAGAATTCGGAGTAGACACTAAAACAAAGTAAAGATGGCTTATTAGGGTGGGAAAAGTCAGGATCAGTGGACCCTGACCAAAGGACAGAGGACACCCATAGGTGGCTGTCATGGGCACATTCTAATCTTTCATCTCAGGCTTGGAAGGAGCAGAATCAAAATTCTCATGGCCACCTTCAGGAGGTGTGTGGGTAGGGACAGGAGAGTGGATTCTGGTAAACCAAGCCTGAAGGGAGATGGGCAGAGAGAAGTAGGCGGCTAGGGAGAGAATTTCACCACCATTTAGTCCCACCGAAGAAGAATTGATCCCTACAAGCCAGAGAGGCGGCATAAGTAGGGTTTTCCAGGCCACATAGCTGGGGAGTCATGCAGAGGAGGTTAGAGTAGGGGCAAGGAGGTGCGAGGATCCTAGACTCCCTCCTGCCCATTCCCTCCCTTGCCAAAGATTCCAGTCACTGAAATCTCACATCCCCACAATCCCAAACTTTAGGTAAAAAGAGGTATAATTACTGAAGCCTTCTCTGAGCTTGCCCAGGGTCAAGGATGGAGCAGACCAGCCATCTTGGGGCAGTCCGTGAGCCATTAAACCCCAAGTCAATTCACTAGCCCAGCTATCCTGCCCTTAAAGGGTTCAGCCTGACTTCACCATGCTCTGTTGACTGTTGCACTGAGTAACTAGGCAAATCACCTCCCTTCCCTCCATTCTTCTCACTTGTGAGGGAGGACATTGAATGAGTTTCCTCCATCATTAAGAACCTGTTTTCAATGCTCATAAACAATTGTTATACATGGTAATACTTAGAGCTTATTCCTGATGATAAAAAATAATGCTTACTGTAGAGTTTTTTTTAAAGAGAAAAATATAAAAAAATAAGAAAAAAAGAAAAATCTTATGTGCTCCCATTACCCAGAGAAAAACCAATGTTACCCTTTTGGAAACTTTCTTTCCAGGATTATTTGATGGGTGGTTTTTTTTTTTTTTGTATTCATATATTTTTTTTAAAATTGGGATCTCATGGCCTATACAACTTTGTATCTTGCTTTTTTCAACTGTCCTTATGCTATACTGAGCATTTTCCCAAATCAAAAAAATTCTCCAAAAATACAATTTTAAAAATTGCATATGACTCCACCAAGAGAACATACCATGATTATGGGGCATTTCAGTTATTTTCCTAGTCTAAATACAACTGCTGTGAACATCCTAACCTAATGCATAAGTATTTGCCTGGACCTCCATTTTGCTAGGATCAACTCCGCTAAGCATAATCTCAGGCCAATTGAATATGTTATTTTAAAAGCTCTTGACATGTACCACCATATTAATTTCCAGAAAGACACAACAAACCCACTGATTTTCCCAAACCAAGTGAGAGAATAAGTTCTGAAATGGCTGGAGCTACAACACAGGATGGTGGTCCCATCGCTCCTCCTCTCCCCCAGTCTAGAAGGCTAACTGTGCAGCAAAAGAGAGGACAGAATTCCAAGTCAGGAGATACAGATGTGCAGCCTAGTTCTGCTTCTTGCCGGCTTCAGGAACCTAAAACAAGCATTGATTCTCCTCAACTGTCAAATGGGTATGATTAGCTTTGCTGACTACCCAAAGCAGTTTCCTCGCTCACATGAAAAGGTGTTTGCGAAAGTTCTTTGTCAACTTTAATGTTTTGTCACGGGGTATTACTATATCCTTCTCATCACCCAAAGGGCTGAGGAAGTGGGTTGTTCTGTGGAGAAGACTAAGGGCTTCCCTTCCTGACTCTTAGCCATCAGAATGCTCAGGATAAGTGCTGGCTGTTCTGAAGGTGATAGAAAAGCAGCTTCCTGAAGGGAATCAGTGCAGTCTAAGGGCTTGGGAGGACACAGCTGTGTCTTGCAAGGGCCAGAGAAAGCAGTGGAAGCTGTAGGGCTGAGGGCTGGGGTGAGGGCTTCCCTGAGGGTGCTGGGTAGGTCTGGGGACTGAGATCACGAAGACCTTCCTGGTAAATGTTCCTCCATTTCAAGGCTCCCAGCCTCTCCTGTCTAGGGTTCTGAATGGACATCTGGCCTTTGGAGAAACCAGAAACCAAGCTGAGTCAGTGGATGCAAAAAGTCAACAGCTGCAGAGCTCTGGCCCCTTCTTCCAGACTGCTGTAAGTCAGCCTTGTAAGACCCTCCAATGGTAGATGCAACTAGTGCCTCCAGCGTGACCTCTCCAGCCGTGGGGAGATGAAAAAGAAGACTGTGATGCTTCCCTTGAGAAGCACAGCTGGCCGGCTTGAGCATCCTGCCACACTCCCCTACCCACTGGGCAAATGTCCTTCCTCGCTCCCGCACGCTAGCCTAGCATCATGGCCTGAGTTAACTCCAGTGACGTTCCCAGCGCTGGCAGAGAAAACTGCGCAGACCCCACGGAACGCCATCCTTCCGGGTTTGCAACATCACCACCGGCAGCCCCCCACTCCTGGCCCACCACCAGGGCCAGATGCGTACCTCGCGTCTCCAAATACACACAACAGGTGGCACCGGCTCGTCCTCCCCAACAATACCTCTCCACCTCTCCCTGCCCCTCCACCTGCGCCCCAGTCCTCCGGGCTGCGCCCGGCCCGGCGGAGCCTTTCTTACCTTTAAGGGTCTGGGGGTGGCCCCGCGGCGCCCGGTTCGGGTTTCCTCGGGGCAGAGAGGGGATACTGGAGAAGTTGTTACCCATGGCATCCGGCGTCAGGGGGTTCGGCTCTCGTGGGGGGCAGGCGAGGCTGGGCAGGAGCGGAGGTAGGGTGTGCGAGGGTGTGCGCGCGCGGGCGCGCGCCGCCGGGGGAGGGCCCTGCTGGGGCTGCGGCCGGGGGCGGGCGGACCGCCGCTCTCCTCACTCTCGCGCGGCCGCGGCGTCCTCGGCGGGTCCTGCCCGCCGCGGGGGTCCTCGCGCGAGCCAGCTACCTGCCTGCCATTCCCCGCGGCGCGGATGGGGACCGCGGGCGGGCCGCTGGGCCGGCGCCGGCGGCGCCCGGGGCTCCCCTCTTCCTCCGGCTGGCGCTCGCGCTCCGGCTGGTGGTGGGCGGCGCGGAGGCTCCGGCGCGCTCCTCCGGGGCCATAGAGTCAGGGCTCCCGGCGAGGGAGCTCGGAGGAGCGGCGGCGGGCTCGGTCCCCGCCCGCGGGGACGGCCGCTGCGGCGACGTGCGTGGCGCCCTCCCGCCGGCGGGTCCGCATGGAGCGGAGCTCTGTGGAGCGCGGGGCGTGCTGGGCGCTCTCGCCCCCGCCGGCTCCCTCCCGCGACCGCCGCCCCCGCCCCCGCCCCTCGCCCGCAGCCGCCGCCAGGATTCCCTCGCTCCGGTTGTTATGGCGACAGCTGCGCCGGTGAATGAGCGTCTTAGTGACACGCGCGCGCCCGCTCATCCAGATGTGGCTCCGGGGCGCGCCGCGCTCCCGCCGCCACAAGTTGTCAGCGGCGCCCGGGGGGGGGGGGGGGGCCGGGCCTGGGTCGGGGTAAGATGTCAGGCGGATGGGGGAACCCAGGAGTCGGGCTCAGTCCCCTCACGGCCCAAAGAACTAGGTCTTGAAAGCAGAGAAACAGTACAGCAAGAAGGCTGCGCTCCCTGGATGCCGGGCGCGGGGCGAGTTAGCTCCACAGTCTCCCTAGAGCCAGGTACAGGGCCTGGCACACCGGTAAAGCTCAAGAAAACAAACAAAAAGATGTTGTTTTTGATGAGTGAATGGATGATCGAATGAATGAGGTGAGATTAGAAACACGGCACTTGACACTCTGCCCTAGGTTACATGTGAGGTGTGCGGGCAAGGGTTCAGAACAAGAAGCCCCGGGTATCCAATTCCTGCACACATCGCATTGGGGGCCTTTGGATGAATGCAGAGCGGACCTAGGAGGCAGCGTTGCTGGCCAAGCTGGCGGCACAGATCTCAGGAACAAACCATCAGACAAACCACTAACTCTGAACTGAGTGGTTCTGTCAGCTATAAAATGGGGAGCGCGGGGCAGCCTCTGTGGCCCTTAGCAGTCAGAGAAGGCTCCCTGGAGTAAGGGGCTTCAGCAAGTTGTCTTTTCACATGACCCCAGTCAATTGGGGTAGAAGATGAGCCAAGGTCCCCCAGCCAGAAAATCTGCCCTCCTGCTCCTCTAAGTCACCGCTAGCTCCCTGACTGGCTTCAGCAACTTTGATCCAGAATCCAGTGAGGGCGTGAGCTGGCAACGGGCATCTCATCCATCCTCTTACAGAAGGTTCTTCCCTCGGGTCTCTATGTGACTCCACCTCATTATTCAGGCACAGCTCATGTGTCACCTCCTGACCTTCCCTGTCCACCCCAACTAAAGAACCCCCTCCCCACGTCAGCCACCTTCCATGCCATTTTATTGTTTGGGGGTGGGGATTAGTTTGAAAGTAGCCTTTCCCCCTTGTTTGTTCTGCCTCTCCCCCCACCCCCCGACCGGAACATAAGCTCTGTGAGGAGAGACGGCAGGCCACTCTATTCACCATGACGTCCCCAGCCCCTAGGAGAGTGCCTGGCACATGACAGACTATCAAAAAATACGTGTAGAATGGATGACGCTGCCTGCCAGCCGGCAGAACTCCACTAAGATCCCTGGGAGGGAAGCTCATTATGTCCCTCCCCTGCCCCCACCCCACTGCTGGCATCACATCCATAAATGTCTGGGACTCCAGGCGAGCTGGAAATATCCATGACAGCTGCTCTCTGGGGTCTGGAGGGAAAGACAGCCCCCACCCCCGCCTCCAGCTTCTGAGATTCTCGGGATCACGTGCCCAAGCCAGCTGCAGAATGGACATGGAGGTCAGGGGTGCTGTCTTATTTATGGGCATATCTTCCCAAGGCTCACTCCCAACCAATGACTCATGCATCAGAAATCCATGGGCTCTGAATGGTAGCACGCTCACACATTTGCGTACACACCTCTGCACTCTCTTGCACACTCATTTCTACACAAGTACACACAGTCTCACACATACTCATATACCCCTCGAAGTCTGCTGCAATGAGGTCACTGTGAACGGCTGCTGGCCTCGGAATAAATCTGAAGGTTCTGTATAGACCAGACTAATTCCCCTGGAGTGTGTGTGAAGTGCAAGGTTCTTGGTAGAATTTGCAGAGGGTGCCTGGAGGGAGGCTCGGCCTGTCCTAGAGTCCCACCCCTCCCTTCCTCAGGGAGGAGGAGCTGATGCCTGGGCCACGGGGTAGGGGTGGGGGTGGAGGGGGTGGAGGCCCCAAAGGTAGAGGACAGCAGGGATGCCACAGGTCCCACGTGAACCTGGGGCTGTGAGCAAAGCAGTGGGAGACAGAGAAGATCAAAGGGAAGAGGAAGTGAAGGCCAGAGACTGGTGCCCATCAGAGGAGTCCAGGATCAGCAACCGGGAGCATGTACACGTCTGCAGAGTGATCCCAGAGAGCCCCACAGGAAGGAGAGAGCAGTCAGGGGCCAACGCAGGGGACTGAGAGCAGGACAGAAATCTCCCCTCACCCAAGAAGGTTGAGGAGATAATGGAGTAGCAGCAGAGCCAGGAGAGGATCAGGTAAGCAAGGGGTCCCTGGCATAAAATGCAAGGAGGCACCGGCTCTCAGGGTCATGCAGGGCCAACCCTGCACTTGCTCCAGCCTGAGAGTGAATGCCTCTGAAAATCTGCACCCTAAGCCACCTCTCCAGCTCGGCCCTTGCCCTTCTGGGGAGCTCCGCACTGTGGGAAGGGATACCACTGTCGAGTGCCAACTGGGTGCAATTATCTGACCAGGCAGGGACCTAGAGAAGGCAGGTGTGACCCTGTGGGACCCAGAGAAGCTGAGAGTGACCCCTCTGAGGTGTCCTGTGTCTCAGAAACCATATTCTGGCAAGGGCTACAGTTAGATGCAGCTCAGAGGACCAAAGAAGTCCAGCAGCCTCCTGCCCACTGGACATCGGACAGAACTCCTGAGGCCTCCTGGCCATTCTTCACCAAGGCAGCTGCCCAGAAGCAGGGTAGTAGCCTATATGGCCCCAAGAGTCCCTCCTAGCCCCATCCAAGAAGGGAGGAGGAAGAAGGATCCTGCCAGGGAGACAAGGCTGGATGAAATCACTGTTTTGGTGGTTTCAGTGGAAGCTATTAATACCCATGAGGTGGGGATCCAGCCCCAGTCACCTTGGCAACCCCACCTCCCTGGTAGTGTAGATTCTGAAGGCAGTGCCCAGGGGGATGGGTGTTAGACATAACGTGTTTACATGTGTGTGCTTGTGTGTGCATATGTGGGTCTTCACATTGATAAATAATAAAATATTTGATGTAGAATAATAAATTCCTTCCCTGAGCACCTGCAATTCGAGCCCACAACCAGTCACCGGGAGGGTCCCCACCCTGCAAGCAAGAGTGGGGTTCGTCTAAGCCAAGTCAGGTTCCCCAAAACTTGAGACCACCCAAGTCAACACATAATACCTCTCTCCCTGTCAAGAAACTAACCTGAAAACAAGAAAAAGCCACAACCATCCCTAGGCTGGGGGAGAGGGGCCCCCTGACGTCCCCCATGGCCCCGTCCATAGTTGTCAGGTGACCAGAAAACTTCTACAGGGTTGTCCTGCCTGGACTGCAGCAAATGGCTGGACATGTTAGAGGCGGAGATCCTTGTGTGCATGATACATAATAGATACCCAATAAATGTTTATTCAATGAGTCAGTGAACAAATCAGTGAACTCACCTATCACTAGAGCTACCTAGTCAACCAGAGAGAATTGCTCAGACCAGCCCACTTGGCCTGTTCCCTCCTCAACGGTACATTTTGCACAAAGTTTTCCCTGAGGCCAGGCCTTCCCTCCGAGGGATGGGAGTCTGTTCTGCCCATCTTAGCATGGAATGAATACCATACGGCTCAGATGCTTTGGAATTCAGTGCCTCTCATTGACCAGTGACCATTTATTGAGCACCCCCTGTATGCCTGGCACTGTGTGAGGTGCAGTTTCCCTGCCAGCCCCATGGGGGAGCCTCTCCTGTGCTTTTGTGTACTCCGATTTCTTACCTCCCAGGGCTACAGTGAGGGCCGAACACACAGTAGGTCTCAACATTGTCAGGATACCAGTTTTTCCTGACTTGATCTATAGATTCAATGCATCCCAATCCAAATCCCAGCAAGTTATTTTGTGGATATCGACAAACAGATTCTAAAGTGTGTGTCAAGAGGCAAAAGATCTGGCGTAATCAACACAATATTGAACAACAAAGTTGAAGGGCTGATGCTTCCCAATTTCAAGATTTATATAAAGCCACAGTCACCAAGACACCGTGGGACTGGTGAAATAAACAGATGGGTCAATGCAACCAAACAGAGAGCCCAGAAATAAACCCACAGAGAGATCGTCAACTGACCTTTGACAAGGACGGAGGGCGATATAATGGAGCAAAGGTAGTCTTTTCAACAAATGACACATTAACAACTAGACATCCACATGCATAAAAAGAAATGAGAATCTAGACCCAGATTTTACACCCTTCACAAAAATTAACTCAAAATGGATCACAGATCTAAACGGAAAATACAAAACTATAAAACTCCTAGAGGATAGATAATATAGGAGAAGATCTAGATGGCTTGGGTTTGGTGATGACCTGTTAGATACAACATGAGCCATGAAAGAAAGAATTTATAAGCTAGAATTCATTAAAATTAGATTTTTCTGTTCTGCAAAAGACACTGTCAAAAGAATAAAAAGACAAACCACAAAGACTGGAAGAAAATATTCACAAAAGACCTATCTCTCTTTTTTTTTTTCAAGTTTTATTTGTTTAAGTAATGTCTACACCCAATGTGGGATTTGAACTCATGGC